TTGCCAAGTGCTGAAGGGGCACACCTTCAACACTCATTCAGGCAGTTTACGACTAACTCTGCCTTAGCCTTCACTTCTTGTTTGTGGTCTTTGCTGAGCATGCACAGAGCCCTGTGCATGCATGTGACCTTTTAGATTCCCGTAAGTATGTTGAAGATTTTTTTCTTTTCTTTTTTTTTTTTTTTGAGACGGAGTTTCGCTCGTTACCCAGGCTGGAGTGCAATGGCACGATCTCGGCTCACCGCAACCTCCGCCTCCTGGGTTCAGGCAGTTCTCCTGCCTCAGCCTCCTGAGTAGCTGGGATTACAGGCACACACCACCATGCCCAGCTAATTTTTGTATTTTTAGTAGAGACAGGGTTTCACCATGTTGACCAGTATGGTCTCGATCCACCCGCCTCGGCCTCCCAAAGTGCTGGGATTACAGGCTTGAGCCACCGCGCCCGGCTATGTTGAAGGTTTTTCAATGGCCTTATGGTCATCTCATTCTTTAGATTTTCCTTTAAGGTTTTTGGTCGGTCTGCTGTTTGCTTTGAATGTTATTTATTGCTTTAGGCAGCTGCAACATTAAAAAACATGCCTGTGAAAATACTTCTAATAAGCATCCCCTGCAAAAAGGCATTTAGCTCTGGGAAAGCTGTGGCTCAGGTCAAAGACAAGCCTTTCTAGCAGACTCCACTGAACCCCAAGAAAATCTCCACTTATGAAATGGAGAAGCAGAGAAGTGAAGTTATGACTATGTAGTAACAAGAATTTGGAGGCTGAAAAGACAGACAATGAAGTCATATGAAATGACATAGCAAGGGGTAACCAAAGCATATAAAGTGTAATTCAAGTTTTGATGCTGAGTCCAACCCTTCTGTGGCATCTCTTTCTCCCTGACAATAAGGACCAGAGGTAAGAAAAACAAACTAGGAAGGAGGCTTCAACCCTGGTCGGAGAGAGCTGCAGCCAGCGCAGCTCTCCTAGTCCTCCATTTTCTCATTTGTAAGATGATCTTAGAGGCCCTTTCCAGCATTAAAGTTTTAAAATATACCAACATAACTGTTTTTCCAGGGCAGTGGTACTGTGTGAATTGAGCTTTTTTTTTTTTTTTCATCCCCAAGTTTGTTTAGTGGCATTTGGTAAGTAAATTTATAAAAGCTTTAAAGGGAAGAATTAGAGAAAAGGTAAGATTAGAACTCTTAAGAGACATTACTTTGGCACCACCTGCTGGATAGCTTTCACATTTTTTCCTCTGCATAAACTTCCACTGCATCTTGTTACTTTTTGTAAAGGATTTTAAGGAAATATTGTCAAAATTATTTGCATCTGAATTCAGATATAAATCAGATCAACGTCTGACAGACGTAAGTATCAGGTCAGCCTCTGTTAATGTAGCTGTAAATTCCCTATCACTTAAGGGGTATAAAACTTGACCTGGGTAACTTCATTTTAACACATGGAATGTGTTTGAATTTCATATGCCATTTGTTTGGGTCTCAGTCATACCTCAGTCACTGCTGTACCTTTCATATTAACCTTAGCTGCCTCCTGAAGGCGATACACCAGGCACTTTAGATACATTATCTTACTTAACCTTCTCTAACAAGCAAACAGCACTTTGTTAACTGAAACTCCTTTCTCCTCAGGACTTGGAGGACAACCCTTCCAGGATGATTCCTACCAGTATTATACCAGCCTTACCACCTGCCTGGAGGGTAAACTGTCAAGTTATTTAACCTCTCTGACTCTTGGTTTTCTAATCCATGAACCAAGGGAAGTAACAGCCCCTAGACCATTGGCTACTGTGAGAATACAGTGATTACCAAAGCCTGGCACTCTGTAAGTGCTCCCAAAATTGTCATCACTCTTATTACAACAGCTCTTCCTTTTCCTCTGGGACTACCCATCTTGTCCCTCTCACTCCTCACTCCTCAAAGCTGGGAGGATGTCCATGAAGAAAATTCCCCATGTCCCATCTACTTACAGCAAGATGGATTTTTCTAATTAACAAGATTAAGCTGTGACCCAAGACCGCACTTTTCCAGACTTTCTGATATATATCCTAATTAAGGCACTATCATTTTTACATATTTATGTTTAATATGTTTACCTTAGAAAATATTCCCATATCCCAGGGAAAATTAAACCCTGGGGTATGGTGGGCCCACAAAAAGGAAATAAACCCCCAGTGTCCATGGAGAGGGTGGTCCTCCCCACTTCTATACCCACTCCAAAACTGTTACGTGAGCAAAATATAAAGTTTTTGTCTTAACTTTCTGAAAGGTTAAAATCAAGTTGTGACCACAGCCTGGCTGAGCCTCGACACTAATCATGTGTGTCACTCTGCTGCATTTCCACTCAATCCTTTCTCTACCTTTTTTTGTTTTTAATTATCTTTATTTGAAAATAATCATGAAGTTACAGAAAAGTTGGAAAATACAATGCATTTTTTTTCTGAACCATCAGAGCAAGTTCCTCTACCTTACTTTTACACAGATAAGCATTCACATATGTGCCACTGCATCACAGTTCTTACAAGTATTTTTATTATGAATTCATCATTTAATGGCTGTACAATATCTCATAAAGTAGCTGGTTAAATTATACCTCACTTAACTATGATAGTTTGTCTCTAATTTTATTTCTATTTTAAATAATGTTATAATAAACACTTTTGTACAGAAACTTTATTCTGTATTTTGAATTTTTAAAAACATCACCAGAATTGACATTATTCAAAGGTTATAAACACATTGTTGAACTTTTCACAAAAATGGAATCGATTATATGACCATCATTAATAAGTGTGCTCATTTCATCAGACTTTGAAAGCAAAGGGATTTTACAAATATACCAGAGTAGAAACTTAGGTTAATTTGATTTTTAAAAATATCCCCTATCTTTTGTTTTGCATTTCTTTACTACTGCCGAGGTTGAGTATTTTTCTGTGTTTGATTAGCTGTGCCTCCTCTTTTAAGAATTTTGTTTCTGTCCTACCATCTACTGGAGTTTGTATTTCCTACAGATTTATATAATCTAGATACGATCAAGAATCAATCATTCAAAATGTCAGAGGATTTTTATTAGAAGAACAAAATATTAAGGCACAAAATACATCAATTTTTCAAATGAAAATCATTCAGTTATGTCTTACATTCAATGAAATTTCTTCCAAATTATAGAACAATTTAACTTTTTAAAATGGAAAAATACAACTTCTTAAACTCCTAAAATTTCTCCCCAAATAAATGAATGTTTTCTTAGTTTTAAAGAAGTTTCTCCATGCTGTACTGAGCTCCAATATTATAATGTACAGTTCCTTAAAAATCTAGTTTTGCCACTTATATACATTCAATGTGGTTGACCAGTATGTTAACCAACGCTAAACTTCTAAGTAGAAGGCTTGGTGCTTTGTACTGCTTATTGCATGCTTTGATCATACAAAGACACAAGTACCAGAACTAGTGATCATAAATCTAACATAGCATCTGTCCAAACTTTAGTCAAGTACAGCCTAGTGCAACACTCAAACTTTTTTTTTTAAAAAAAGGATATATAAATCAAAACGTATATGTACATTTTTCATACTTTGTCTTGACAGTATAGTAGTGTAAACATTGTACTGTAATACAAGGGGAAAGGGTGGCATTTTCTACAGGATGTGTAAGTTAAAACATTATTTTCTTTACAGGAAAAATATGGGAACATTCTACACCTCTCAGGCTTAAAAAATTCACATATTCACCAATTTTTCCTTATTTTTGCAATAAAACTGCTATCTAAAGCAGATGTTTAAATACTAATCTAAATCAAATCATGAAAATTCCCTTTTAAGAAAATTTCACACATCATATTACTCTAATATAAATGGCATAACCAGAACACTTAAGCATTTTGCCTAAAAAAACATCAAAACGGACCCGTATCCTCAGATTCCCTCACTAACAGGGAGATCCAGTCTTTATTTTTAGCTGGCATGCTAAAAGTAAACTGATTTGAGCGCCTCAGTGGCCCTGATGGCCAGTTTCTGGAAACTCTGTGCAGAAGCAAGGATGATGAGCTGCTCAGTGCCCCAGGTATAACTACCCCCGGTGTCCTTCTTGTGAACTACGGCTATGGCACTAGAGTACCCCTCTCATGTATGTGAGGGGCCTAAGAAGGCCCTCCACAGAAATACTCGATCGAGGTCATCAGCCATCAAGAGATGGCACAAATATCACTGAAGGTGACAGATAGCACATGCCCTTCTAGAAACAATATTTGTGACAAGGCTACTAGGAGGGAATTCTGCTTTCTCTGGATGGAAGAAAAGTTTGCAGTGCAGCCTGTCGCTGCGCTACAGACGTAGCATCAATTATGCTACCGGCTGTAGAAAGACATGTTTTGGTAAACATTACTGAGGTTCTGTCAGTGGCAGTTTCCCTTATCATCACACTCACCGTTAACTCCTCACTTCTACTCTACCAGATTTGCAGCTCCTACTGCCTGCAAGCCCAATATTCCACATTTTCAAATTCAACTACAGCCATGTAATAAGTAGGGGGTCATTCTGTCTCAAAACTTGGGGAGTGGGGTACTACATAAAAATGTTGGGCCGGGCGTGGTGGCTCAAGCCTGTAATCCCAGCACTTTGGGAGGCCGAGGCGGGTGGATCACAAGGTCAAGAGATCGAGACCATCCTGGTCAACATGGTGAAACCCCGTCTCTACTAAAAATACAAAAAATTGGCTGGGCATGGTGGCGCATGCCTGTAATCCCAGCTACTCAGGAGGCTGAGGCAGAAGAATTGCCTGAACCCAGGAGACGGAGGTTGTGGTGAGCCGAGATCGCGCCATTGCACTCCAGCCTGGGTAACAAGAGCGAAACTCCGTCTCAAAAAAAAAAAAAAAAAAAAAAAAAAGTTAATGGACTAAGGGGAGAATATACCAGAACATAAATGCTGGGAACTGCAGTGGGTGGGAACCCATTACTATAGCAGAAACTGAAATAAGAAATGGAATTCACAATTGTTAAACATTTTTTCTCCCTAGGAAGGATATCCTAAAGCAAGGGCATCTTGAAAAGTATGCCTTTCTCAGCAATGTTTGCCAACACTGTTCACTTTCCACATGGTCAGGAGTGAAAACACATTTGCCAATATCTTTCAAGAGATATGACTGCCAGAAATAGATCTTCTTTACTACTCTCTCTGAAATGAGTAAACAAGAAATAAATACAGAAGGTAGGCTTTTGAAAGAAAAAGAAAAAAATTTGCTTTGTGGCTTCACAGTAAAAAAAATTGGAGGTTATGTTTAAGTGTTTGTACTGGTTAAAATTTCAATGTTTTCTTAATCAAAATTCTCTGAAGTCATTCTCAATTTACAGAGTTAGAACTCTTTCAAAGAAAAGACATTCAAGACGCTAACTTTAATTACTATTCTAAATGTCCACTAGCCCTGTATCTTTGGTCATGAAAGCAGCAAAACATTCACATTTTCACCATACTACATTCAATTGCCTTTCAAGTTTAGAACATTCTACATTTTTAAAAAAGACATTAAAGCAAGCGATTTCATATTATACATTACAAATATATGATGTAACAAAATAGGGTATAAAACATGGTTGAAGTTTAAGAAATTAATTATAAAATCAACAGTGATGTAGCATGCAACTAAATATGTTTTTATTATGAAATGTAATATGCCAACATTATGCAAAAGATACAGTTCTAATTTCTACCAAGTTCACCGGTAATGGGTCTCCCAGCTTGCTGGGTAGGAAGTGCTCTGGGGGAGCCATATGGCCACCACCCGCCCCGGCAGATTCAGCAGCATCACACGTACACACGGCCTGAGTGAGGGATAATGAGGGCAATTCTTTGGTAGTGACCCTCAAGACATCTCTCTTGTGTTCCCCTGAGCTAAGAGAAGACCGACCTAACTCCATCATTTGATGTGCATAAGCCTCACAAACAAGGGCCTTGTGCAGATTTTAAAAAGGGGGGGAGTTGCAAAAACCTATAAATATGCCTATATTCCAACATTAACCAAGTTTTACTTAATATCGAATCATATCAGTACAAATGTCAAAGAAAAGTATTATTGCATCTAGTAAACCCAAGACATATAGACACGGATATACTATAGTCCAGAAGAATCACAATACCTACCTCAAAGGTGACTAGAAAAAAGACCAATGTGTTTATTAAAAAACATTTTTCTTTAATCTGGAATTGTCATATGTTCCAGAGAAAAGAGGGAGAACCCAAACCCACATGTCTGCCACCTGTCAGCTAAGAGGCATCTGTGCAGATCTTTATCATAATACTTTCCTTAGGTTATTTCCAAATCCAATTTAATAGACATTCAAGAGTCAACTTTAAAAGGACTGCAGAACCCTCCTGCCACCTGAATTCTTCATTTTGACACACAGACTTCCAAGATAACACAATAAAAACTTGCTATGCAATGTCAAAACAAAGCTCACTTTCAGTCTTGATGAAGGATAGTCCTTCATGCTTAACTACATTTCACTTATATGGGTTCTAATCACATTATCTTTTCTGAAGAGAACATTTTTTCAGCCATTTCAGATCTGGTCATGATTTCCTGAAGAAAGAAAAAAATATATACATATCAACATGTTGATGTTGCTTCCAGACTCTAACAAAAAATTTCTAATCTTTCAACAGCTACATTTAGGGGAACTAAATATAGTCTACAATATATACATGGAAATACCAGGTACAGAAAATAAAAGGCAAAGTACAGTGGCTCATGCCTGTAATCCCAACACTTTGAGAGACTGAGACTAGAGGATTGCTTGAGGCAAGGAGTTTGACACCAGCCTGGGCAACATAATGAGATCCCATCCTTATAAAAATTTAAAAATTTAAACCACATAATTCATACTCTCCAATAATGCATAGTCAGTTATCTGCTTCTACACATTGCCTGCTAGCTAGAAAACATGTCAGGTTCAGAATCTCCAGTGAGAGGCAAGAATGGAGTTAAAATGTTGTGTTTCTATAAATTTTATTTGTTTTATTTTTAAGACAGAGTCTCTCTGTCACCAGGCTAGAGTACAGTGGTGCATTCTAGATTCACTGCAACCTTTAACTCCCTGGTTCAAGTGATTCTCCTGCCTCAGCCTCCTGAGTAGCTGAAATTACGGGTAGGTGCCACCATGCCCAGCTAATTTTTTGTATTTTTTTTTTTTTTTTTTTTTTTTTTTTTAGTAGAGAGGGGGGTTTCACCATGTTGGCCAGGAAGGTCTTGATCTCCCAACCTCATGATCCACCCACCTCGGCCTCCCAAAGTGTTGGGATTACAGGCGTGAGCCACCATGCCCGGATGCCAAAATGGATTTCTTAGGCCCAGCTCATCTAGAGATTTGCCTCACTTTACTAAATTAATGTATTTTTGAAATTACAGATGATTTACTAATACTTTACAGAAAGATGTAATACTCGTAATACTCCACAGGAAGACGTAGCATAAAATTACTTTTAAAAGGGCATTTAAATTACTTTTAATCTACACGCTACATCTTTCTGTAGAGTTATAAATCTTGAAGTTTAACTGTTTTGCAGCAAGGCCTTCTCAAGCCTTCCCAACCCAGTATAGTCAAATAACAGAGTGATGCCAAAATCATTTCCCTTCTCTCTCAACGAATAGAGCTCTGGCTCCTCTTATGTGCGACAGCCACCATACAAGTGACTATTCAGCTACCACTAACTTCCTTCCACCCTTCCTTTGTGAAAGTTAATGTTCCATGTATCCAGCCTTTAATTCTTACACTTCAGATTTCTTCCTGCTTTGTACCACAACTCAATGTCCAAGTGATCCACAGCTAATTTTTTTTTCCCAAAAACTTTCCTAATTCCACATCCTCTATCCAAATTTCCTGCTTAGTAAATGAAAATGAGATAGAAACTTTAATACCTTAGCAAAATATCTACAAGTATCAGAGGTTAACTTAGACAAACTGCCATCTTAAAATCTTTTAAACTCTTACCTATACACAAGATTTTAGAAAATCACAGAATCAAGATCTCAAAAAATAATCCTTCATTTCTTCCATACCAATAAATATTTATCTTGTTCTTGTTTGAAATGAGGACTTTATCCATAAATCCTTTAAACTTTACCCACAAATCAATCCATAGCATCTTTCTGTCTACTCAATTTATAATAATCATAAAAAGTAGTTTTCAGAACTTCTTTCTGAAATAGATCTCTACTTTTTGAAAATATCAGCTCCAAGGAAATATGCAAAAATATATTTTACCTCATCTGAATCCACTAATACCGGAAGAGCGCTGAAATAAATGGAAAAAAAAAGGTGATAATGTTGTTCACAGTAAGGCAAGTGTATCCACAAAAGCTGAATATAGGCACATGCCATGACCCATCAATTCTCACTCCTGGATAGCCAGAGGTGACAGAAAGGAGCACCCAGGCTCACAGACAGACATGGAGGAGTTTTCACAGCAGTGCTGTTCTCAGTAGCACTAAACTGAAAATAACCCCAATGGGTAAAGTATGGGTTATTTAGACAATGGAATAGTATGCAGCAAAGCAAATGGATACCTATTGAGGGATAAAATTTTAAAAACTGACATAAGTAATCCACAGTTGTAGACTTCAGGACAGCAGAACCTTTGGGAAAGTGGATTCTTGATTTGAAAGGGAAATGGGAAATGGGCTTTTCAGGGCACTAGCATTATTCTATTCTTTGATCTGGGTGATGATTTTATACAAATGTGTTCATCCTAAAATTTTATTGCGGACTTAACCCATTTATGAGTAAACACATTATGAAAGGTGGTATTTACAGAATCCAGCATTTGTTTAACTTCTGTGTCATTATGACCACCGCCTGGATGTCTGCCAGCAAAGGTTTCCAGAGAGAGAGTTATATAACACAACTGTTGCTCCATAAAGATAATATAAAAAGAAAAGGTGAATATATAAAAACGTTAAGTAACTAATCTAGCCTCAATGTGGCAGAGGTCTGAGGGAAGAGAACCTGAAGGAAAAGTCCAAGTGCCAAAGTTTTGCCATGAAAGAGCAACGCACAACTCCAGAGGATGCCACCTACAGTGCAGTCCGTGGTGAAGCCAGGAGGGCCAGGAGACTGACTAGTGTGAGGAAGGAGCCAAGGCAAACTGGAATAATACGATTAAAACAATCTGGGGGAGAAGATGGCATTAGGGGAGAGATGAACCCTAGAGGTCCAGAAGACAATCTGCTGCATGCTTGGCACCCTGTTTAGAAGAAACACTAGCAATATCAACAATGGTCCCTGCTGTGATGTCAATGACTTCTTAAAACTCATTAAGAACGATTCAGTGCATTAAAGAGAGAGATAAGCTATGCTAATCTCACCTTCATGGGTTACTGAAGATGAGGAAATTCACAGTGAATATCATACCAATATCTCATAATACATGATATCATATGATTATTCATGATCTGTTTAAAATATCCTATGACTTATAAAATTTTTGTGCCATTTCCACAATTATATAAGGGGAAGGCTTTTCTCTGTGTTTGAAGTCTAAATACTAAACTTGCTACTTAAATTGTACATTAATTTTGGATAACATTGGGCTACACTTCTTGTGTTAAAGTTTTCAGAAGTGGAGAAGCAAAGATTCCTAAAAACCTAAAATTTTGGAAATTATTCTTGGATTATACAGCTCTAATCATTTCACATAAATGGCTCATGAAGATGCCAAATAAGACAGTTTAATCTATATTTTAAAGGATTTTTTTGTTACCAGGAAGATATTTCTATCTACAAACAAAAACAGTAGAGAATAGTGACTTTCTCACATATAAAGAGAACTACCTAGAAGCCTTACTGGTTTCCACCAAGAAGTGGTAGCACAGTAGGAGGTAAGCCTGCTTAAATAATTTCCTTCTAAAATGCTTAGTTATGAGTTTCCAAATCCGGAAAATAATGGTAGCCACTTAATTTGAATCTCTCCATATATTCTTGCTCAAAAAACCGTAGAATTACTAAGGATTGCAAACAAAACCACAAAAGATACATGCCTTCAGAGTTACCAGAAAAACACCACAAACTTGAAATTACATGTTAATAGAGAAATAAATGCCAAATCCCAACAGATTCCTTGCTGCTACTGCAAGCTCATGGGTACAGAGAGTAGGGAAAGAGAGGGTTGAGAGACTATGGGGAAAAATAGTAGAGGGGTGGTGGGAAGACTCAGACAAGCCTAGACAAAAATCAATCCCTGCAGAAAAGCCCAACACTCAGTGGCAACAGACTGTATAAAACCAGTGACTTGGAAGTTCACAGCACCTGCTACATCGAAAAGGCTCAATTCGAGTGGGACAAAAAGTAGCAGCCTTGAATGATCATTGTTTTCAGGAAAGGATCATATGTAAAAAAGGGGAATATTCCTTGGAGATGTGATAGTGTTGTAAATTTTAAAAAGGCTGCCGGGCGCGGTGGCTCAAGCCTGTAATCCCAGCACTTTGGGAGGCCGAGGCGGGTGGATCACGAGGTCGAGAGATCGAGACCATCCTGGTCAACATGGTGAAACCCCGTCTCTACTAAAAATACAAAAAAATTAGCTGGGCATGGTGGCGCGTGCCTGTAATCCCAGCTACTCAGGAGGCTGAGGCAGGAGAATTGCCTGAACCCGGGAGGCGGAGGTTGCGGTGAGCCGAGATCGCGCCATTGCACTCCAGCCTGGGTAACAAGAGCGAAACTCCGTCTCGGAAAAAAAAAAAAAAAAAAAAAAAAAAAAAAGGGCAGTAAAAACGGGGAGGGAAGGTCTGCAGAAATAAAAGACAGACAAAACACCACCAACCTCCCCTACTCCATACTCCTCTATACCATCAACATTATTCATAAAAGAAACAATTCATGCCCACTGATGGAAAAAGGCACTCAAACCAGGAACCTTCATAAAATCTCTCAGAATGGGAAAACCAAAATCAATTCCATATAATACTGCAGGAAAAAGAAGGAAAATGAAAATCAAAATATCTTACAGTAGAAGAAAACTATAGTTATAACACACAATACTCCAAATTAAATACAATAACTTAAAAAGAACATTTGGCAATATTAAAAACATTCTACAATAAGGAATCTAAAAGCCAAGAGCAGAAGTAGATAAAAACAAAGCACAAAGAAATTCAGAGTCAATCATACTCAGAAAAATAAAGAAAAAGACAAAAATTATTCCAGTGATTGAGAACATTACAAGGTACTCAAGGGAGAATAATTCAAAAGAAATCTTACGTGTGGCAGGAAAACAACAAAGAAAATAAAATAAAGAAAGAAGGAAAAAAGGAACACACAGAAAGTGATTGCAATACAAGAGAGCAAGTAAAGGTGGACAGAAAAGGTCAGATGATTCCTTCCACAAAAAATACTGCCAAAACCTGGACAAAAATATCAAAAACAAGTAGCTGGCCAGGTAGAGTGGCTCATGCCTGTAATCCTAGCACTTTGGGAGGCCTAGGTGGGTGGATCACCTGAAGTCAGGAGTTCATGGCCAGTCTGGCCAACATGGTGAAACCCCATCTCTACTAAAAATACAAAATTAGCCGGGTGTGGTGGAATGTGCCTGTAATCTCAGCTACCAGGGAGGCTGAGGCAAGAGAATTGCTGGAACCTGGGAGGCAGAGGCTGCAGTGAGCCAGGATTGCACCACTGCCTTGTACTCCAGTCTGGGCGAAAAAAGCAAGAGACTGTCTCAAAAAAATGTTTTAAAAAGTAGCTGAAGGCACTGGAAAATGACCAAGGGACATGGATCTGAGAAGCCCAACAAATTCCAGAAAGAATAGACAAAAAGAAGACCTAGGTATATCATAGACTCACTGCAGAAAGCCAAATATAAAAGAAAAATCAGAAAAACAGCAAAAGATAAATGCCACATGACACACATAAGAACAATACAATTAATGACTTTTCTCCTCAAAAACAGTAAAAGCAAGAAGATATTAAAATGACATGTTGGAAGTGTTCAAACAAAAGTCAATCAAGATTTCTATATCCAGCAAAACTATCCTTTAAAAAGGAAGGCAAATGGCCAGGTGCTGTGGCTCATGCCTGTAATTTGGGAGGCCGAGGCAGGTGGATTACCTGAGATCAGGAGTTCAAGACCAGCCTGGCCAACACGGCGAAACCCCGTCTCTACTAAAAATATAAAAATTAGCAGGGTGTGGTGGCAGGTGCCTGTAATCCCAGCTACTTGGGAGGCTGAGGAAGGAGAAGTGCTTAACCCCAGAAGGTAGATGTTGCAGTGATCTGAGACTGCGCCACTGCACTCCAGACTATGAAACGGGAGCAAGACTCCATCTCAAAAAAAAGGAAGGCAAAGTAAATACATTTTCATATAAATAAAATTGAGAGAACTTGTTGTTAGCAGACCTATCCTATAAGAAATACTAAAGAAAGACCTTAGCTCATATATAAAAGAAAGAAAAAAGAAATAGTAAATATATGGGTAAATATAAAAAAATATATACTCCCATATTTTCCTTTTCTGAC